ATATGAGTAGGTGTGTTTGAAAAAAATATAAATTCATTGTTGGTCTGCCGCACCCCTGTCGCGGTCGAATCTGACCCTGAGCCGATGGCTAGCCGGCGTAACGACAGGGGATGCACTGGCAAAGGCGGACATAACAAGATGGCGCCCAAAATAAATACACCTGGGTCTACATTTTAGCAAATGTTGCCCCAGTTCGAAGCGAAGTAAAAGCCAGAGTCTTGTCGTTTGTTTTTTTTTGTTGATTTGTATTCTTTATTTAGTGTTTACATGTAAATTTCAACAGCAATAGCTGCTGGCGGCCCCTGAGCCGGCGGGAAACGGTGCAACTGCCAGGTCCGTTGGTGAGCTTCACTAGGGCTCAGCCCATCGTTGCCGCAGTTGCATCTTTCTTACAGCGCGGTGTAGGTTGGTAACCAGCAGAATAGGCGCAGCGAAGGAGCGAGTGTAGCAGGTCCGTGAGGGGTCTTGGTGCCCACTCATTGTTGCCCTACAGGGTGTTCTGAGGCTGGGAAGATAGAGAGGAATGTCTGTTAGGTGTTAAGTAAAGAATAGTATAGTTGCCTTATGTTTTTTTTGTGTTAGTTACCGTTTTTTTTGTAGTTGTTTGGTAGTTCTTATGTATGGTTGCGTAGTAGGTCCATGTCCTGTCCCAAGCGGAAGGAGCATCGTTGCCCTACGTAGCAGAGCATAGGAGCAGCAATTCGCCATAGCCCGAGCAAGATTTGAGTTTTTAGTCGGCGCCTGGAAGAAATTGGGTGGTGTAAAGCGTGCGATACATATGTGTTTGTTTTGGTTGTTTACCTTCTACAGTGACTGCGTGCCGTGGTGCAGCGTCATACTGAGGATCCTCATCTCACCCTTACATGTCTAGTGTTGAGCCTGTGAGAGTAAAGAAAGATTGTTTTGATTTATGCTATTGTCTGTTAGTGTTAATTACCTTTTATTTATTTATTTGCGTAGCAGCAAATAAATTATCAATAGACAGGGAGTCCATTGTGAATGGTCCCGGTCAAGCACAGCTGTTCCTGGGCTGAACCATCGGTATTAATAAGTATCGACAGGGTATTTTGGCACAGATTAGCAGGTCTGTGCATAGGGCGGGAATTTGAAGTTCAACTTATCGTTAGTTTGTTTTTTGTTTGGAGTAATATTTTCACTTAGTATTTTTTTTGTTAAGTCTTTTGGTATACATTTATTTATTCTCATTTATTTATTCTCATTTATTTGTTCTTATTTATTTATTCTTATTTATTTAGTATTTATTTATTTATTCCTTTTTTTGGTTGTGTGTTTGATGGTATTTCTCTATATATATACGTAAGCATTTGATTGGATTAAATAATCCAACGGGTACTTAGCTAAGGATATTCTCCCCGCTTATCATTTAAGAAAACACATACATACGAGTGGATCGATCTATTTATTTATTCGGAGTTTGCTCGTTTATAATATAGATATAGTTTTTTTTGATATTATAATCGGCGGGTACGGATCCGAGTACTAGCAGTGGTTTTTTTTTGGTTTGGATTAACAAGGTACTGAGAAATGAATCTTGACCCGAATGTTACCCGGAAGGTCAGGCGGAGTCAGGAGTTTATTAGAAATAGGCCATTGGTTCACTTGGACTCTCCTCCTCACGTAGGATTGAGTGAGGCGGGCAAGCCAGCAGAAGCACTCCATGATGACGCATCGCCGCCGAGTGTAAACGAGGCAGCGTTCCGAGGATTCGGGGATGAATTTCCGAACAGTTCCGGAGCAACAGCCGGCGCACGCGCGCATGACTATGGCGGTGAAGAGCAGAGTGGCAGAGCCGAGTCTGCGCTGCCAAGCGAAATTCGGTCAGCGATCAACGTGGCATTAGCACAGGCCCACGAGACGTATCGCGCATCGTTGTCGTCAGAAGTAGAGGCCATTCGAGGGACGATGCAGGCCAGCATGCTGTCGTTCATGCGCGAGATTAATGAGGCAGTGGCAGCACTGAGGCAGGAGAAAACGCATAGCGCGCCTCCGTCTGTAGCACAGGCGCCGGTGGGCAGGCCAGAGCGAGCTCACGCGCAAATGCAGCGGCCAGCCTTAGGCGGGTACGAGCCGGCAGAGAAAGGAAGAGATTTTGTAAGTGGTAGACCAGCAGCTGCAGCACCGACTCACCTGTTCGTCGACAACCGAACTTTAGAGGCAGAACAGCGGGCACATGTGGAGCAGCGGCAGTTCTCAGCCGATCCGTGGATGCGCGATTTGGGCCCTGACGTGCACAGGCCATTAAGGCGAACCACGATGGGAGACTCTCGGCCCGACGTCGTCCACATCAGAAAGTGGGGCCTTGTATTTGATGGCGAAACCAAGGGAATGCCGGTGGCAGAGTTTATATTTCGATTGGAGCATTTGCAGTCCTTGTATCAGGTGCCCTGGGCCGACGTGTTGCGAGACTTCCACTGCCTGGTGAACGGGAGAGCGAAAGATTGGTATTGGATGTACATACGTACCTCGGGCGTGCCGGACTGGCCGAATCTCCGATATGGGCTGCAGCAGCAATTTCAGACTCGAAGATCGGAGTTTGAACGAGAGCAGGAGCTGAGGGAGCGGAAGCAGCGGCATGGCGAGAGCATAGAAGAGTATATTCAGGCGATGCTGGTGTTGCGTTCTCGGTTGGTGTGTCCATTTTCGGATTATGACCTTATTAAGGTGATAAAGACAAATATTAAAGACACCGTGTCTAGGGTCATCTATCCGATGAATATAACTAATCTGCAGAAGCTGAGAGAGGAGTGCCAAGACGCCGAAAAGATGCTGGCAACGCGTTGGGCGCGGCCCTCAGCCAGTACCAACTACGGGCAGCAGCGAGAGCAGCATCGAGTACACGAGCTGAACGTGGTAGCAGAAGGTACAGAAGGCGGCCAACTGGAGCATTTGGAGGCGGTATATAGGCCACATGAAACTGGTGGGAGCCGCTCGAATCTCAAGTGTTGGAATTGTGCACAACCAGGGCATACATATTTCGATTGCGAGTCGGCGGTGCGCAATATGTTTTGCTTCAAATGCGGACAACCAGGCGTGGTGCTGCCAAGATGCCCGAAATGCCGTCCGGGAAACTCGGAGAGGAGTCCGACGCAGCCGGAGGAGTCGCACTCTCGGTAGACGGTGAAACGCGTACCTCCGATGAAAAAGTAGTTAGGATAGGAATTAGTAGCGATAAGGATAGTACCGTTAGTCATATTTACTCACAGATATATAAAGTCAACCAGGCAGTCCCACCGAAGAAAGTATGGTCGCAGCGGAAACCCTTGGAGCAGCGTCAGCGCGACTATGAAGTAGCCAGGAACCGCATATTTGGTAGCCAGCACGAACCGGATGCGAGAGGGGCGTCGAAGACATCCTTGCGGGCGCGTAGGAGACACCGCGAACGCCGACAGAGACGCCAGGCGGTGTGTGCCGCGGTGAATTCGGCATGTCGTTCCGACAGCCGCCCATATGCTACGGTAGCGATTGAAGGCAGAGAATTTACCGGTCTGTTGGATACCGGGGCGTCGGTGAGCTTGCTGGGAAGTGGTGCCATAGAGTCGGTCCGAAAACTAGGTTTGGTGGTACGCGAAAACAAATCCGCGGTAAGGACAGCCGGCGGCGCGCCACATTGCATTATTGGCAGCGTGATGGCGCGCGTTAGGTATAACGGAACAGAGTCGGAAATGGTATTCCACGTTTGCCCGTCGTTGTGCCAACCGCTTTATCTGGGCGTGGATTTTTGGCGCAGGTTCGGTTTGGCTCCGAATGTGATCCCGGCTGTGGACGAAGGACAGCACGTGGCTGAGTTGGAGGAGGAGCGCTTAGGAAAGAGTACACCAACGGAGCCACACGATTTAGAGGCGTGGCAACAGGAGAAGTTACAGCGAGTCGTGGCCCAGTTCAGATCCTTCGAGGAGCACGGTCTGGGTAGGACGCCAGTGGAGCAGCACCACATCCAGTTGACGGAGGGGGCACTGCCAGTGAAAGAGCGTTTTTATCCCGTGTCGCCGGCAGTGCAGGCGCTATTGTTTGCAGAAGTCGACGAGATGCTTCGGCTAGGGGTTATCGAGCCAACTGAGAGTCCATGGAGCAACCGAGTGACTTTGGTGAGGAAGCCTGGAAAGAACCGGTTGTGCTTAGACGCGAGAAAGCTAAATCAGCTCACGGTGAAGGATGCTTACCCACTCCAGAGCATTGAGTCGATCTTGAGCCGAGTGGAGGATACCATTTACATCAGCAGCCTGGATCTAAAGCATGCTTTTTGGCAGATCGAACTGGATCAGGAAAGCCGGCAGTACACCGCGTTTACGATACCAGGAAGGCCACTGTATCAATTTAAGGCCATGCCGTTCGGGTTGTGCAATGCGGCGCAGCGCCTTTGCCGGGTGATGGATAAGGTGATTCCCCAGCGTTTGAGAAGCCATGTATTCGTCTACCTGGACGACCTTCTCATAATATCCAGAACGTTTGAGGATCATTGCAAGGTGCTGTTGGACGTGGCAAGTGCTTTGAAAGTAGCCAATTTGACGATTTCCTTAAAAAAATCCAAGTTCTGCTACAAGTACTTGAAGTATCTGGGGTTTGTGGTTGGCGATGGTGCGTTGCGGACGGATCCAGAGAAGGTCGAGGCGATTCGGGCGATTTCCTTGCCGACCAGCGCAAAGCAGCTCCGCCGATTCTTGGGGACCGCTGGCTGGTATAGGCGTTTCATTCGGAATTTTTCCACGATTTCCGCGCCGTTAACGGACTGCCTGAAAGGGAAGGGAAAGTTCCAATTATCGGGCGAAGCAGTTGCGGCATTTCAGGAGTTGAAAGGGGCACTCACCTGCGCGCCAGTGTTGGTGCATCCAGACTTTCGGAAGCCGTTCGTGATCCAGTGTGACGCGAGCCAAGCGGGCATAGGAGCGGTTTTGTTCCAACTCGATGCAGACGGGGCCGAAAGGCCGATAGCGTTTTTTTCAGCGAAGCTTCGGGGCGCGCAGCTGAACTACAGTGTCACCGAGAAGGAATGCCTGGCTGCAGTAAAAGCGGTCGAAAGATTCCGGCCGTACGTTGAATTGATGCCGTTTAAGGTGGTGACTGATCACGCCAGCCTGCGGTGGCTGATGTCATTGAAGGAGTTGGACGGTCGATTAGCGCGGTGGTCGTTGGCCCTGCAGAGGTTCGACTTTAATATTGAGCATCGGAAAGGCAAGGAAAATATTGTAGCCGATACCCTCTCACGGCCTTTCGAACTGGAGGAAGTTGATTTTTTTGACTTCGAGACAACCGAGTTCGAAGGTGCGGAGTATACCGAGCGGCTGAAGCAAGTGCGGGAGAACGCGGAGCTATTTCCGGATTTACGCGTGGAGGATGGGCTGTTGTATAAGCGGGCGCAGTTCACGCGGCCCGAGCGAGAGGAATTTTCCTGGAAGCTTTGGGTACCGCGTCCTGTGTCCGCAGCCCTTATACAGCAGGCCCATGAGAGCGACGCGGCTATGCATGGGGGCATGAAGAGGACCATAGAACGGCTCAGGCAGTTTTTTTTCTGGCCCGGGATGGTGGCACAGGTTAGGAGGTACGTTGCCGGCTGTGAAACGTGCAAAGCAACAAAACACAGCACGCAATTAGCGAGGCCGGTAATGGGCGCCGAAACCGTATCGCTCCGACCAATGCAGAGGCTGTATCTGGATTTCCTGGGGCCGTATCCGAGGTCCAGGAGAGGGAATACCACCATTCTGGTTGTTCTTGACCATCTGTCCAAATTCGTGTGGTTGCGAGCGATGCCAAAAGCAACAGCGGCGGCAGTGGTCCGGTTTCTGCAGGAGGAGGTGTTTTCGGCATTTGGAGTCCCAGAAACCGTCCATACCGACAACGGTAAGCAATTCGTGGCCAGCCAATTTACGGGGTTCCTGCAGGGGCTGAGCATCACCCACGTACGCACGGCGAACTATGCCCCACAGGCGAATGCGGCGGAACGCGTGAACCAGACAGTGTTAGCGGCCATCAGGACATATGTACAGGGCGACCACACGAAGTGGGACGAGAAGCTCTCGGACGTGCAGTGTGCAGCACGCAGTGCTATCCATGGCAGCATCGGCACGTCCCCGTATTTCGTGTTGTTTGGGCAGCACATGTTCACCAGCGGGAAGGACTACAAGCTGGCACGCAAGTTGGCGGCGCTGGAGGATGCGGAATTGCGCATGTTGCCCAGATCGGATCAGCAGAAGGCAGTGCGGGATGAGGTACAGCAGAGTGTCCACCGGGCATATGAAAAGGCGAAACGGCAATACGATAAGCGTGCGAGGATGGTAGCGTACGTACCTGGCCAGGAGATTTACAGGCGAAACTTTGTCCTCAGTCGTTTTAAGGACAACGTGAACGCGAAGCTGTGCCACAAGTATGTGAAATGCCGTGTCCGGAGCAGCGTGGGCAACAGCCTGTACGAGTTGGAGGACATGCACGGGCGTCGGTTGGGAGTCTTCCACGCCAAAGATTTAAAGCAATAGCTAAGGCCCGGCTTTGTTCGTCGGTAGACCGAGAGACCCATCTCAGGGTGTGGGCGGTGGCCTACGTTGGGCAGAGAAAGAACCGCGGCGCTTCTCACTCCCGTTTCTTCCGTTTGGCACCAAAATAAAACCGGAGTGTGGTGTTATGTGCGGCGCGGCAGTATTGGGAAACCACAAATGTCGTCGGACAAAAGGAGTGGCAACTCGCGCGATTGGCAGCTGGAGCGGGCCGATAACAAGTACTCGTGCGTGAGGGGTGAGGACCAGTGCTACCAATTAGGAGGGTTGCAAAGTGGGTAAAATAGCAATTCCGGGGGAATGGCAAGTCGTGGCCTTAGGGAAGAGGAAAATCAATTGTGGACAGTGAGCGAGAGACACGTGCTATTGCGGGAAAAAACAAAAAAAGAGACAAAATAAGCGGAAGACAATATTCAAACACCGGAGTGACGACAGGAGGGTTGGAATATACACCAGCGAGGCTTCATAGGCAGAGGAGTAGCAGTAACTGCGGGCGTTCTGGGAAGTGCGCTGTGCGCGGGTCAGCACCGACCGGCAGTACTGGGTCTTAGGCAGGACCTCGGCCCTAGCGGAAGTCAGGCCAATTTCCATGCAACTGGAAGTCTGGGCTAAGTACCCTTCAACATTAAAATACTAAATATTCACACACATTCCGCTCAAACATAGAACACAAAATTTTATATACACCACACACTCCTTTATATACACTCCATACATGTTCACATACACCATATTCAAACACACACCGAATTTCCATAGCACTCAGACTCACATTCATCCCATAGCCACATAATATAAAATACAAAACAAAAGCAACACCCAAACATTTAACCATATTGTAACACACACACGCCCATAGCCACATAATATAAAATACAAAACAAAAACAACACCAAAAGAAAATACACATGTATGCCATAGACAAAATTCAAAATACACACCCATTCATATACAAGTCACATAACAATACAACACACAAAACAATTAACAATTTTCTGTTACACACATAGCCCAAACAATCACAACATAATATAAAACATTAAACAGAAACACAACACCAAACAAGTAACCATATTGTAAACAAAAATTCAAATGTATACTTAAGAAAAAAGAACATAAAAAAAGGGTAAAAGAAAAATGTACAAAATCTAATATAAGTAAAGGAGGTTGGAATGTGTATTGGAGCGGTGCAGTTTTTTTTTGTTTATCTCCTTGTCATTACATATCATTACACCCCTCATAACCACATACTCGAGTATAGGTAGGTTAGGAGGTTCGAAAATCGAATAAGATAAATAGGCACAAAGAGCCAACGAACTGCAGCGTCCCAAAACTCAATGGCTTGAATATTAAAGTTTATTTTTATTGTAATAAAATTTAAAATTTGAACATGAATCTGGAGTAGAATCCATTTATGGGGTGAGATGGGGTGACTAAAGTCCCGGAGCAGAAGGAAAACCAAACCAAGCATGTTGAAGGGAGCCGGCAACAAAATGCCAAAACCGGCTCAAGGTAGGGAGGGCCACGCGGCTACACGACACCAAAGTAGCCACAACTCCACCCAAATTCCACAGGCGTCCCTCAGCCGACAATATGAGTAGGTGTGTTTGAAAAAAATATAAATTCATTGTTGGTCTGCCGCACCCCTGTCGCGGTCGAATCTGACCCTGAGCCGATGGCTAGCCGGCGTAACGACAGGGGATGCACTGGCAAAGGCGGACATAACAGAATACCAAAAGAGGTAAAAATCGATCCAAAATTTTTTTTTTAATTCTCTTACTTTTTTTAATTTCTATAATTATTCTAAACATATGTACAGAGTATTTCAAAGTCGGGACACCCGACTTTAACTTTTTTACTTGTTTACATCTGTGAATATGTGCACACACGTAATACATACACGTAATACATATAAACATGTGTATGTGTGATTCCGCCATTATGAAAATAAAACTAATTCTGTAGTCAACAAGTAAAAAAGCTAAAGTCGGGTGTCCCGACTTTGAAATACTCTGTACATATGTTTACAATAATTATAGAAAATAGAAAAAATTAAGAAAATAAAAAAAATTCAATGATTGATTTTACCTTTCTCGGTATTCGAACTCATGTAAAGGGTGTATAATTGCACATTTACATAGCAATTGCGTCTGTGTGAGTATATGTATGCCTATGCGTATCAATTCGTGTCTGTGTAAGCATTTTCGAAGTCAACCAAACAGCAACATCAACAGCCGCGGGCAGCGCTTGAGCACAATCACCTCAACAAGCAAAACTAACTGAGGCTAAAACTAGAAAGGAATACTAAAGTCGAGCAGGCTCAACTCTTAAATAACCTGTACCTCCCACCAAAAAGGAAAAAATGAAAGAAAAATTGTGTAATTTATTTTAAAAGATTATAATTAAATAAATTATTTAATTAAATTAAATACAAATTTCTTCAGAATTGACCAATCATGATGAAACCAAATTTGAGTTCAAAATTCCAAAAATTCCACATCAAACTAGTACTTTCTCGGACTTAGGAGAATCTGGATACAAAGTTTGGTTATTCTAGCTCTTATACTTTCTGAAATCCATGCGTTCATACAGACAGACGGACATGGCTATATCGACTCGTCCTGTCATCCTGATCAAGAATATATATACTTTATAGGGTCTGCCACGCCTCCTTCTGCCTGTTACATACTTTCGCACAAAACTAGTATACCCTTTTACCCTTTGAGCAGACTTCAAATTCACTTAAAACGACTTTTCCGAATGCGCATCATATTGCCGAGAAATATCTTTATACCCTGTACCCAAAGGGTACAAGGGTATATTAGTTTTGTGCGAGTGCACATGGAACACACAGAAGGAGGCTTGGTAGACCTCACAAAGTATATATATTCTTGATCAGCATGACAAGCCGAGTCGATATAGCCATGTCGATATAGCCAGAGTGGCTCCGCAAAAAAGCCACTGTGGCGAAATAAGGAATTCCACTTATGTTCCTTTTTATAAAAAAATGTTTCCAGTAGTTGGTGCAAGAGGGCGCTGTACGGTACTAACTGCCTAACGTGTTGGTGATCTGCTTGTTTGGCGAACTGCTTGCTTTTTCAATGCTTCATTTTCTTTTCCTAGAAGGTCAATCTTTTTGTACAGAGCTGCAACGGTTGTTATGTTGTCAGCTTGGCCGTTGGCGTCTGTCGTAGAATTTTCGTGATCATTATTGTTTTTGTTGCTCTCGAACTGTACCTTCTGTGACACATACACACCAACGTCAGCGTTATCTCTTTCGCACGCGTTTGGGTTTTCGCGCGAATCGTTTACTGTTGGTGACGATTCGGCGGCATTCCTTAGTTGTGCATTGGATATCATTTAAAGGCACCGCTTTTGGACGAACTTAAACGACTGGACGCAATCGCTTTGCGCTGTATCCGGTATCCAGATTCCCATAAGCCCTAGGCAGGTCAAGTTTATTTTTTTATTCTGATACACCCCCCACTCCCCCGCAATTCGTGTTTTTTTTTTCATAACTCCCGTAGTTCTTGGAATTTCGAAAATTAGGTAGCTACATCCCGTTAGTGATTATGTGTCTGTATGCCAAGTTTCATCATAATAGGTCAATTCTGAAGAAATTTATAGCCATCAATAAAATCGCTGCCCATGCTCTACTTGTAGCGCTGCCGGCAGCTGCAGCTGTTTTTGTTGTTGCTGCTTGGGTTCAACTTTGTGCTGCATACATACACGCATACATACATATAAGCACGCAGAGACACGATTCTTATGTAAATGTATGCTGTTGAAACTGTACATGAACATGTCTTCAATTTAATTAAATAATTTAATTAATATACTTTTTTTAAATATTTAAAAAAATTGTTTTTAATTATTTTTCTTTTTGGTGGGAATTACAGGGTATTTAAGAGTTGAGCTTGCTCGACTTTAGCACTCTTTTCTTGTTTCCTATAACTCCCATAGTTCTTGGAATTTCGAACTAAAATTTTGTAACTACATCCCGTTAGACAGACAGACACATAATTATGTCTGCTAAGTTTCATCATGATAGGTCAATTCTG